TTCTATTCCAAACAAGAAATTCCATTCCATTCACCAGCTCGCGGAAAAACGAGCAACTATTATTGGCCCTAGCATTCTGTCGTGAATAACTTTGCAAAAACTCTCAAAAGTCTTACTTCTTAATTCTGGAGTGGCAGAAATGCTTTAGGCTAATAATCAAGGGCTTCTGTCTCCCTAAACAGGTGGGAGCTATTTTAATCAACAAAGTCGGTGACAAGAAGGAAAGCTCTTTTATTTTCTCATCCCACCTGCTGAAAGCTTAGTCTAGACATAGACATTGGGTTAACTTGTGCAGTCTCAAACTTAGCTACTTCCATTCATACAGGATAAGCTTTGTGCGAATTCACAGTTGGGGAATTTCGATATTTTACGATATATCAAAGTTTAGCGAAGTATGTGCAACGTATATGCATTTCATACTCTTATTTAATTTAAACCAAATTTCTAATATCAAAGCTTCCTTACAGCAGGTTTGTTTGATTCCTCCCGTATTCAATGGTATGAAAGATACAATACTCCGCAGGAGAACACCTGTTAATTTTCCGCCCATTACATGAGGCACATGTATTTTTGATAGCACAATCCAGGTGGGGCGTGTCACCGAAATCAGGCAACTACAGGTAATGAAGAAAGTTTGGAATAATAACACAAATAAATTTTTGCAGTTTATCCAACCAAATAAAGTCGTGCTCTAAATAAATTGTTACGCCAAAGACAAATCCAATCCCCCTTTGTTTAATTACCAAGACTATAAATCAATCTTCTTAGACATAATGTACAGTGTTACTGTAATATGGGCAAAGGTTGAGCAGCTGAAGACTCTCCTTTCACGGAAAGAGAAAGCAATAATCGCCATTGAATGTTCTTGCTAGACGAAAAATTAAGTCGATAACGTTCTGGTAGAATTCCACTGTGGATGATAACTGCACGCAACTTTATTATGTTATGAACGTCTTTCTTTACCTTATGTTGTCTTTCTACTAAATTTGTTTTGGAAAATCCAAGCTCCGGACTTAGAGCGACTTTTGTTGTAAATATATTTTAATTTTTGGAGACGAAATGACGTAAAATAGCTTAGCATGTGAGTGGCAACTTTATCATTTAATTTTGTGGAAAATTCTTGATTTTTTTATGTGCTTTTCAGTCACCTAGTGAATCAAATTAACTAATCATATATATATATATATATATGTTTTAAGGAGCCTCCTGATATCGTGTATAATTATATTGATATCTTATATAAGTTTCATTGATATATTTTCCAGTAAAAGTAATTTGAATGATAGCAAGTGTATGACATTAACTGATAAAATGAATGATGAGACAAAATCTTTCTTTCTTTCTGAGGCTCATTTTCAAAATGAGTTGTTTTATCGACGAGCATTTAAGCTGTTCGATAAAGAGAAAACTCAAATGAATGTAGAAATACTGAAGATTGTTTGACTCCTAAGACAGAGTCTGTTATTTATGTTTGAGCATCACTCTAAGCTTGGTATGAGGCAGTGGTTGGTCTTCGTAAGGTTAAGACTGTCGGGGAAGCGATTAAACATTTCAGAAAGCGGCAGAAGAACTGCTTTGACTTCTAGTATATTTTTTGTTCCCAGCCCCACGATCATAGCCTCTGAGGTAAAGCATGAGCAGGACCAATGCAAGCCAAAATTTAGCATGGAAGCTTTCTTCTCAAAAGACTCGCAAAGCGCAGATTGAACTTAGAGTGAGGCCGCGACTCTAAAGGATGGATGAGGTTGGGTTTGGCTTGCATGCATCGTGACTTGTACACGATACATTTCATCTTGAAAGACTAAGTCGTTCAACCCAACTGTATAAAATGTTAAACACCAGTTGACTTGTGAGAAATTTTAAGCCAATGATTACACCCCGATGTAACCTAATGAGGCTTATTGACATACTATTGATCGCCTATAGCTACATCCTCCCATCTTTGCCGACCATAAGCCCTCTTTCAACCATTACGAAACGATTACGCTTCTATTAAGCCTGGTTGTTCTATATCTTCTAGTACTTCTCCCAGAAGCAGAGCTTTAATTCGCTCTTCTTGTTTGTAATCCTAATTACATTGAAGGCCTGGCTAAAACATGGAATTCTATGCAGTTTTTTGACCTCCCTCCTCTCAGATCAAAGTGAAAAGGGCGGAGCCCCAAAGTTTGGCGCGCCGCCCTCCACGTCAAGAGGTTCCGGTTCAATTCCTGACCGGGTTATTTTGTTGTGTTTTTGGAAAAGACACTTTACTCTGACAATGCCTCTCTCCACTCAGGAGTATAAATGGATTTATTTTTTTTCTCAGAGGGCACGGATCTGATTGGTTCTTAGTGCGGTCCGGATTTTCCTATCTCTATCCACGGGCAAGATAACGCTTTCGTGAGTCGCCGAGTACATCTCTACCTTCGTTGCCATTTTTCCTAGATCTATTTTATTTTTCTGGCCGGGCACACTGTTAAGCAAAGTATTCTTGGGCAAATCATGTCGATTAAAAACTTATTCATTCTCTCTTTTTTTTCTCCAATCACTTTGGTTGTCGGCAAAAAATTGTTTTCGAAATGAATTTTTGGTAGCAAATGTGTCAATAGAGACCTTAAGCAGTCAGAACGGAGACGCCAAGGGAGACTTTGATTAAAAAATTAATTTCTGCCTTTAATTAGAATTTCAAAAATGGCTGCATGTGTTTACCGTCTCATACGGCGCCACACCTCAACTTCAGCATAGCGTATAAAAGAAGCGTTGAGTTCCAAATGGAAATTAAAATAATTTGCCGTCGCGGTTTTGGTTCGCAGACGACGCAAATTGTGGCGATTTCACGTTGTTGTTTTGCGTAGAACGGCTAAGAAATGTACAAAGTTTTAAAACGCACGAGCTGAGCTATTGTTCTGCCAATTAGATCTTTTTTTTCTATGTCCTCGTTGCTGACGCCGTCGTGGTTTGCTTAAGGTCTTATTATTAAATTAGTTGACACGCGTCCTGAAAAACCTTTTCTGATTAATTTTAATCCTTCACAAAAAGTACCTCAGAAAGTTAAAACTGTGAGGCATTGTTAACAATTGAATTAGTTTGTGGAATTTTCATTCATTTAATATCTAAATTCTCTAAAACAATTTTTTCGTTGAAAACCGGAGAGCGAAGTTTTCAGTCCTATACTACAAATACGCTTTCGATAAGTCTGTGCTAGTCCGTTCAGTTTGGTAATTTGTACCGAAAATTGCACAACAAAGACTGAAGGAATTCAACCAAAACCGCATTACATTCCCTTTGGCTCTAGTTAAAGTGTCTCCCTTAACTTTAGGTTTTCGGTGTAAGAAAGACTAGATTTACACACGACATTGCCGCAAACAGAAGAGCAAACTCCCACAACATCAAAACAAGCATTTGAACGTCATGTTACTTACAATTGCTTTTCCTTCCTGTTTACTGAATGAGCAGAGGTATTCTTCTCACATTAATCATCAGTGGAAGTGAATCATACTCTTTTTTTTTAATGTTTTTGAAAAAAAAGAAAATCGTCGTGACAGTCATTGAACTTGAGCTCGTTCACCAGTGCTGTCGATTTCTTTTCAAAAATGTGCATGTGCATTTTTTCTTACGAAGTCTGTAATTGTCAGGTGTCAGATTGTGACAAATACTTGTTAAAAAAATGTTTCAAAGTTTGTCTTGAAGCCTTTTAAACCACCTTTATCATTTCACAAACAGAAATATTTCGGTGACGCCTCTCTCTAATTTGCATTACCTCTGTTTTAACTACCATTCACTCGCCCAAGAAGTGTTCAGGTTAGGCAGGATCTTACCGTTCTAACAGCCCTAAATCATTCGAATTCTTTTGGAAAGCATTTCTTTAACTTTTAGAAAAAGATAATGCTGTTGTTCACCAGCCTAGGTCGGTCCGTATGCTCACTCCATCACTCAGGACAGAGGGCACAGTTTTTCTCGATATGTATCGTCCGGCTGGCGAATAACATACAAATCGGTGGACTGTTAGGGAACCCTGACGAATTACTCCCAGTCGCTTCTTGCTACGGAAATCGGGAAAAGGTCCGGTCTAATAAGCCATTTAATGTGTCTTTTTGTGTTCGATGGTTGTTATTCTATTTGGGTTGACTCTAAGAAATATCAGACAATCACTTTCAGGCATAGCCTTTTTCCAATGAGCCATTGTTGCTTGGCTTCGTCAAATAACATCAAGGAATTCCGTGGGTTGCGTGGCCAGCTTACCTTTACATGGCAGATACCTGTCCCCTCTTCCCTGCTCTTAATGGGTGTCACTGTCACCAGAAACAGGACGCAACAGTCCATATCAAGGTATCCCTCACATGCACAAGTACCGACTATTGACTCTTGTCTGTGTGACTACTGTGTAATTAAAAATGAAACAAGGCCGCACTAGGAATAGTTAAAAAAAACCACACAAATGAAATTAGGATATATTAGGATTCGTCACTCGCCATAATTCAGAACTGGCGTAAAGAAAACTCTTGAACAAAAGGTCTACTAGCTCCTAAGAATATTATTCGACCAACATTTGACGCGCAAAGAATTTAGATGACTTTAGACTGAGTTTTCTTATCGTCAGTCGACTCTAAATGGGGAAAGTCGTTTATTAATGAACCTTGGAAGTAGAATTCTTTAACAGTGTTCTTTAAATCCATGATAATCAAACTAATACTTCGATTTGGTCATTTGTATTTTGAGCATTTTTCAATGACACGATGAAATCTGACATCTTCAAACAGAATAGAGGGTTTTCCAAAATCAATTGTACAGATAAACACCCTAAACAGACAAAACATTTCAAAAGGGATTTACACTTTGTCAGACAAGTAATTCATTCACACTTTCGCGCATTTGTTCACTGTCATTCATTTTCCCGCCGGAATTTACGGTTTTTTTTAAGAGTACTATGATTGGCTGTTGTCTGTGTTCCCAACAAAAGAACAATTTTAATTGGTTGTTTGAAATTTGCCGTGTTGCTGTGGTAATAAGTCTTTTGAACTTAGGTTTGTGCCTTGGTGTTAAAATGTGATAACAAAAGAACTGGAATCTGTTTTGTTTTTCTTCTATCCCGGAGTGAAAGAATGAGACAACTCAGCTGAAGATATCGCCACCGTGGAAATGCTTTCGAGCCAGAGCTCGCGACCATATACCGTTGGAAGCTTCCGAATGAAGCTGGCGTTATTCGAGCAATTCATCGAAGAATTTACATATGTCGACGAAGAATTAAATCCAGAAGAACGACAACAGATCCTACAAGCTCGTTTGACGAACGGTTCGTTGTAAATGATTTATTACAGAAGCTCTTTTTTTTTAATTGCACTGTTTTTTAGCGAAATCGGAATGCAGAAAGGTCAAATCCATGTCAAATTTCGAAGGTTTTTGAAACTTCGAAATTTGACACGGATTTTAAAAGCTTACATACGTGCAGTAATTAATTTGTGGTTGACGTGTTGTGGTTTTCTAGGCTACGAACCGTTTTGCGAAGCAATTCGTAATCTTTTTGGCAACGACGTGAGTACTCAAGACTTGAAGGCCTTGTTCAGGAAGATCGCTTTGAATCCCGATGCTCAAGTTGATTGGAGTGAGGTGAGTTGAATAAACAACCTGGTAATATAAGTTAATACAAACCATATAGATTATCTGGCTAAACATGGCTTAAGAACAAGGAAATGACTCTTTAGTGAAGCCATGTTTTATTGCCTGAGATACTCTGTACACCTGAATTATTTTGTTTTAAAAGGGAATGGCAGAGGAGAAAACTTTTAGATGGGAAATCAAATGGCACTATTTAGATCATAGTATTTAATAAATAAAATCCTACACACTATATGATTGGACAGACAACTGATGCCCAGCTGACCTCAAACTTGATAGGCGAGAGGTTTTGAGAGGTGTAAACAGCTCGCCAACCATAGACTTACCTCATAATTATGATCAAATGGTTGGCTAGATGTGTTTACATTAATTAACACAGCCCTCTTTATGCATGAAGTATAATCATTTGTTTCACGATTTCAGCACTTCCAATGCAATCCACATTGGTAGTGACTACAGTCTATAATAAAGCAGTGATTTTCATGGTCACTCTTACAAGTATGTTCACTGTGATGAATAGGTGCAATCTTATTTTAAAAAGTAGCCTGTTTTTCTTTTATATTTCTTTTTGCCAAGTTGGAGTCATGTAAGGGCATTGGGTTATAGAGAGCCAAAATCAATTTTTTGCCACCTTTTACCCAATGTCCCAGCATGTCTCCTGGCAGTCTTCACTCAAACTTTCCCCTCTTGGTTGAAAGGAAATGGGAAATACTGCTTTGACATTAGCATACTCAAAATATATACCAGAGCACCAGAGGCAGGCATGGAATTATGTCTGCCTCCCTATAGTCATTTTTGTTGGGTAATTCAGGGGTTTTGATAAAAGCCAGTTATTGGTAGTCTCCCGTTGCCTGTAAGACCTCTCACTGCAGTCTGTTCAGCCTGTGAGCAGGCTCTTGTGTTGGGTTTGACCTTATGGCAGCTGGTTTAAGAAAGAGTTATTGAAACCCCTGGTAAGCAATTCAAACCAACTTCTTGTTTTGAAAGGCCCTTTTCAGTGGAACAGGGCCAGTGCGCATGTTACCCAGGGGCTGGGGTAGTCCATAGATATGTTTATACAAATTAACGCTGTTTAATCCCACTCTAGATTGAGGAGATTAATGGGTGACAAGCAATAAGCTACTGCTGATTGCTTTCTTTATTGCTATCTTTTATTGGTTTGGACCCATTAACCCTTTAACTCCCATGCTTGACCAAGACATAATTTCTCCTTACAACATCATTAAAATGTCAAGCTGACAAGTAATGAGAATAAAGAAAAGGAATTTTCATTTGATCCAATTGCAAATTCTTAAAACTTGCCTCATAAGAATTGTATCACAGACAGTGAGGAGAATTACTAATGAGATCTTGGGAGTGAAAATGTTGATGACATAGGATTACCATATTTCCTTGAATAGGTACCCAGGTGCTCTTGTAATATTTTGGCTGAAAGGAGGGGCACTGATAAAGATACTAATAACCAGTACTGTTTTGCTGTAGTTGAAGCTTAAAAAGTTATAAATTAAGTGGCATTGATAGAAACATGTCTTCTCTGTATTGGTACTATTTAAAAAAGCAAGGGAGGAGGGGGTGAACTATTTAAGAGAGTGAGGGAGGAGAGGGGTGAGTGGTTATTTGAGAGAGGTGTTTGTTTGAAAGTGTGGCCTGGGGGGGGTGGGTGCTTATTCCTCAAGGAAATAAAGTAAATCCTATAAATTTTAATGTAGAGATCTTTTACTTTCCTTTCCAGCATCCCTTTCTACCATTTCTTTTACTAATGTTCTACGTTGCAAAACTTTTTCTATGTAGCTGTTTGGCATTGGTGGTGCAACGGATGAAGTACCTGACTTGTTATTAAATGAAGACACTTCATCAGTCATAACCACCAGCAAGAGACGATTTGTAGGAGAGGCAGGAGGTATGAACATGCACAATTGCACATAATCTCTTCTATAAGGACCAAATGTTTCTTAAAAGGAGTTTAAATTTTTTTCCATGATAAAGTGCTTCAAAAAAGCATAATTCAACAAAAATTGATGAATGCCAGGGTTTCAACAACCTACATGTATTCTGTGACAAGTTGCTGAGATGGTAATGGCCAACTGTGGCTAGAAGGGGCTGTAAGGTGAAACACAAAACACGAGAGCTTGCTCACAAGTTAAACAGAGGGCAATAAGAGCAGATAGACTGCCAGTAAATAGCTTTTAATGAGACTCCTGTGAATGGACTTTTATTATTAAACAAATTTTGTTCCTTGGCTTTTGTACTCTATATCAGGTAAAATTTATTTAATTCAATGTCATAAATGCCAAACATTTTTCAACTTTCATCTGAATTTATGAAGAATTAGAGGAAAAGGGAGGAAAATCAGCTGAGAGCTCTTTTTCTTATCTCTCACTATTGTCATAAATATTATACTTATTTAATTTACATAAATTGTGTGCAGGTCTATCTGCTAATACTGTTACAAGACATGAGATATCTAATCCCTGTCTTGTTTAACCCTTTAACACCTGAGAGTGACTAGCATCTAATTTTTCTTTACAATATCACCCCCAAATCACACATTAAGGTCATGAGAATAAAGGAAATGGTCACCAACTAGAGAAGCTCTGGATTATCAAACAAATTCTCCTCATCAGCACCTTATGGAATATATGGGGAACAATATGGAGAATATGCATACTGATGTTAGGTTGGAAAGTGTTAACCATTTGCTTTGTTTCCATAGGGGATAAGAAAAGACGCGATGTTGTGCAGTGCATTGTTCAGGTTCCAAAATATGACTTTTACATCATTGCCTCTCAGAAAGGCATTATTTGTCAATGGAGCAGTAAGGTATTCATTAACACACACAGTCTATTAATTTTCTTATGATTTTTCCCAATCCAGTGTTATTCTGTTTCCAAAAGGAAACCAGTTTTTAATGTGTCAGTAATGCCAAATTTTACTCATGCCTTTGATGTATCCTGAGGCCTTTTACTCTCTTTCAACCCCTACTTTGAAAGGCTTGCTTTCTGATTGGTTGACTTTGATCTGTTCCCCAATACAACCACTGAATATATCAAAATTTCATGGAAATTATGAAAATTTTGTATTAGTTAGTTATGAGAATTTTGTGTTAATTGCCAAGACAGCAATTTCTACCTGATAAGTCTGAGTATTTTCATTACCTGTTTGTATGGATATCATGGGAAAAAGTTACATGTTGATCACTTTTGAGAGCAAAATCCTAAAAGCAGCAGTGAAAAAAGTTTCTAAGGTCTCATGAGGTCACAGTACACAGAAAAGGCATGTAAATTATGAACCTTTATTGTCACCTGGAGAGTAGGCGTGTCCAAATTAAAGCTTTTTTCACATTCCTTGTTTTTATCCCTTTATTTTTTCAGTTCCGGCTTCAGTCCTGTGTTGACTTGAATGTAAGTTAAAACCATTGCCTAGAAGTGCCTAACTTGTTCTTTTCAAGGGATGTCACAGATGCACAAATAGTGTGACTATTAGCTTATGCAAACTCTAACTATTTGTATGATATGGATGGTTTTGTAATTCCAACAAATGAGAAAATTGTGGTTGATTTTCTGAGATGTTCCATCATTCTTGGTTCAGTTTTCTGATCTACTTCAGTTTGTTTGTCTGATATGTTTGAGGTGAATTGCTTTTGAACTGCTTATTTTTGTGACATAAAATGTGGCTTGTTTCCTCCATTAGGAGTCTTCATGGGTGACAGGCTGTGGATTTTTGCCCAGTCTCAGAAGAATAGCGGTAAGTTGTACACCACCCTCTAGCTAACAGATTTGATTTCAGACGATTTCATGCATTAATGCCTTTGTTTACCAAATATTCTTTTAAATGATCTTAAAATGGAAATCCACTTCCAGGTTACATCTGAGAGAGCATTATCTTTATGGGACTACAGAGCAAAAAGAAAACAGTTGGTAGGTTTGAACAAGCATATTTTACTTCTTAAGTTATGTACATGTAAATCTGATATGAAGATGGATTGATGTAAAAGTTTATGGTAAGAACAAGGTTGAAATGCTGTCTTAGCCAGTAGTCTAGTTGGTTTGCTAATGAACCATTTGGCACCTGGTAGACTTTGAAAGTCATATCAGCCCTTTATTACAGTGTTATGGTGACAAATGTCTCAAAGAGTAGCCTCTTTCAAGTCCTCTTTCTTATAGTCTCAAACCTTGGAGAGCAAGTTAGTTTTGTTGGGGTCCTTGATTACTTCTCCATTTGGGCTTAGTTGTTCAAAGGGCAGATAACACTATCCAAAGAATAAATTGCTACCCAGTGGATGAGCCCCACAGCAAAACTACTGCACCTTTCACTGGATAGAATCTTATCTGACCTTTAAACAGGCGGGGCTTGATGGGCAATGTTGCCAGCTATACAACCATGTCTCATTTTATCTCCCTAATGTTTATGCTGTTCTGCTTCTTGAGTTCATGATTTTTAGCAAAGCCATGTACAGTACAACATGTACTTTTAAGTCAGATCCATGCCATGCTGCAATACTTGTATGTTCACTTATTATATCTGTGTCTTCCCACTTCCTCTCCATTAGCATGTCTTAGAATTTTTCCCTAGAGCTGTGTTTTTCCTTCTTTAGACAATTTACCAAATCAAGCCGCTGGAGAACTCCCCTCAGTGCATGATCTACATTCCATGGAAGACTGAATCCATGAATGAGGACACAATACTGTTTGGAGATGATCAAGGTAAGGGAGACCATTTTGCTGATCTTGTCAACTATTTTTGAAAACATAGTGGAAGTGATATCTTTGTGTATAGTCTTGAGCTTGAACTTGATCACGTTAACCCTTTACACCCTTATATCCATAATTATGTATATTCTCCATACTGATTTCTAGTATATATTTCCTAAGGAGCTGACAAGGAGAATTTGTTAAACAATCAAGAGCTTCTACAGTTTGAGATCATTTCCTATATTCTCATGACCTCAACGTGTGATTCAGGGGTGATATTGTTAGGAGAAATTAGATGCTAGTCACAGTTAGAGTCAAGGGTTAATGGTTATTTAAAGTCATTCCCTATCTCTGTATGGACTTAAAAATTACTCGTGAGATCAAAAACGTCTACACATTTCTTTTTATTTAAATCCTAGGATATGTGAATATGATGACAGTGTCTTCAAAAGACCTTCATATGAAGAACTCAACAGCAGGAAAAACAGATTCTCAGATTGTCACCATTGAACCCAACAAACTCACCTAGTAAGGGTATCATAAACATGAACATAGCACCACATGTGGCTTCATGTACTTTCTCCTATATCCTTATGGCTTTTCTGTCTACTAATGACTATGTTGCATGACATTGTATCTTGTTCAAATGATAATTTTACACTTTATTGCATTAAACAAACACGAGTCTTAGCTTGAAATATATAGAAACTGTTGGAATGGCTGAATCTCTGAGAGAGCAGGCTCTATGGGTGTTTAATGGGAGTTGATGAGGAGGGCTTGAGAGATTGTTATGGTTACCTAAACATAAGCCCATTATTAAAGGAACAGGGCTGGAGTAACCGGTTTTACAGACTGACACCATTGTATTTCACCCAATTATGGCACTTGCTGACACATGTAATTCTAAACGATTCGTAACTATCCTACAACCATCAAAGACCAACCAAAAAGAGATGAGATTTAGTAATTCAATATTTTGCTATTATCAGTGCACTGCAGAGAAGAAGATTCCATGATGACTGGGTGATCAAGGTTTGTTATGAGTAATTTTGGTGGTGTTTGATAATTCTTTAGTTAAAATCAGTTACGGTATTTTTGAACAAGTAAAGAAAGGGAAACTGCATGAAATAGTAATCATGGTAAGACAAGCATGTACATTGTGTTGACTTTCTTTCATTTTCTGATAGATTAAGTATTTTCCTCAACTGGAAATGTTTGGATCCTGTTCACCAAGCAGCAATTGTTCATTTATATTGGGGAACCTTGAAAAAATCTTGGACCACAGGTCAGCTTAAAATAAATACTGGTAATGGTTGTAAGTTCATGGAAGAATTTCTTACACACCACTTTTCAAACAGACTTTTTTCAAAACCATTGACAAAATTTTAAATGAACTTAGGAATGGCTTCAGTTCACCATAGGCTTTAGGGGGAATCCTGGAATTTATGATAGGAGGATGTAAACCTAATTCAACCGAAAAAAAAAAAAAAAAAGCCTTTTCCAAGCTACAGACTAAATAAGTTGAGAAGTATTGGGAGTTAAGTTGATATTGAATACTTCATATTTTGATGTATCGTGTGATCCAGTGGTGGCAAGAATTTTTGTGTCACACAACTACTAAAAAACCCACAGATCTTACAGGAAGAGGGGGATAGGGGGGAGAATCTGCACCCTGCAGACCCACCCACTGAATCCACTGATTTTTCTGTTACTTGATGGTAGTGTCAAAGGTCTGGGATTGAACTCCTCCAACTTAGAATTTATATTTTGCTCATGACAAAAAAAATTAAATTTCCCATAACATCAACCCTAATCCACTAAACTCAGAGCATATTTAAAAGGAGCTGTCATTCCTGAATTAAACACTCAGTAGCTTGTGATGACGTATCAGATATTTAAGAAAATTTGGTGTTCTAAGAGTCTTTTAGAGAAAACATTCAATTAACTTTTGCTCACTGAAAATCAACAATGTGCTTTAGCTTAAAGACATCAGAACACAACTATTCCTTAACTACCTCAAGAGCTAGTGTCACATCTAATGGCTGGCTTGTTTTACTAATTTCCAGTCCTGTCAGAGAGCTTGCTGTCCCAAAGGGGGTCAACTGCTTTGATTATTGTACAAAAGCCAATGTTATTATCACAGCTGGTAAGTATACTGTTCACTTATCTATTTTACCCCTAACCCTTTGACCATTAGATTGCATTAGTAATTATACTTGCTGACTTCCATATGATTTGCATGATGTTACTGAGGAGGATTTGGTGCTGGATCAACTAGTGATCCCCTCATTGATATTTTTCTTTATTCTCATCACATGTCTGCCTCTTATTGTATTATATTGTAGGGAGAAATTCTGTCTTGATCCTTCATGGCAGTTAAAGGGTTAAGCGTGTTGGAACCTATATTACTATGGTTATTGAAATGCCTTTCCCGTTCCCCAAATGTTCCACAGAATAAGTGGAGAAGTTCAGCAGCTGCCAGTTTCAGTCATGAATTGGTTGCTATTAATACTTAGAATTGAATTTTACAAATAGCATTCATTTTTTTTATTGATTACCATTTTAGGTGCAGACAAAGTCATAAGAGTTTGGCATCCACTCATATTCACAAGACCAACAGGTAAAGCTGAAATGCTACTTGAAAAAACTGACTTATTTCATGATCATGTAGATACCCTAAATGCCTTAATGAGACCCTGCATGTTGACAAGTGCCTTCTCTCTGGTAAGACTCTCACTGAGAGTTTCTCTATTCTTGTCCTTGTCTCTTCCCATGGCCTCTTTTCTCATAAGCCCCACTTTCAAGTAAGCCCCACTCTCTAATGAGCCCCTCTCTCTAAATTAAGACTCTATGAAGCCCCCTCTCTAAAAAACCTCACCCTCCAGTAAGCTCCCCCTTGAGTTAAGCCCCCTCT